CCGTACGTTACGTACGTTACGGTAACGGGTAAAGGTAAGTAACTACGTACGACTAGGTAGGTAGGTAGGTAGTTCGTTTAGTTTATTTATTGTCTCTCTCTCTCTCTCTCTCTCTCTCTCTCTCTCTCTTTTGACGAGAATAACCACATTTTATTCCATTGAACAGAGAGCAAAAAACACAACAATCAGGCAATAGTTACAAATGTTGTAACCATAAAGCCAATGCAAAGAATAACACCAAAACCAAAGTATAATATTAGTTTCCTTGTACTCTCTCATCTATGCACACGTATTACACATCTTTTCGGAAACAACATTATCTTGAACAAATCAACACTCCTTTAGCCAACATGTCAGCAGAAGAACTCTTTTCTCTATAAACAATTAAACACGTAAAAATCGATCATTCATTCTTGCAACACTATCTATTACCTCCTGCCATAGCAATCTAATAGACCAGGGTACCTCCATGATTTATAGACACCAATTCATAACATTCATGGAGTCACCTTCTACCATAACATCACCTTAGAAAAGCTTCAGCTTCCTTCTTGCCGTAATAGTGCCCACATCAGATTTTAGATTGTCCCAAACCCATCTAGACCACGTTAAGTTTTAAATGTTACACTGTTAAAGTTCCTCAAGGTACCTCCAACCCTTCTTGGATTTCCATATGAATTACCATCAAAGTTCAACTTAATGCATCCAGCATTTGGTTTCTCCCAAACATTTGAATCTTTTTTTTTTCTTTTACCCAATCATGAGCAATTCCTTACCGGAAAGTAAAGTTAACCAGTTGGGGGGACCATATTTCAAATTTGAAATATGTTGGATAGATATTAAGATGAATGAAATAATTCAAGTGGTTGGTGTCGGTTTCAAAGAATAGACGTTAGTGTCTTGGAGGAAGGAAGGTAATACTGATTTTAGGAAAAGAATTGGGGAAATAATAATAATAATAATAAAAAGGTGGTAGATGCCTCTAAACAGTAGATAAGAAGCTTTGAACATTAGAATGATAGATTAAGGAATGAGTTCAATAAATAACTCATGAAACATTTGAGGGCCGAGGAGCTTCATTGAGATAAAGATCGAGGGTGAACTGGTTAAAAGAAAAAAATTACTAAACTTTGTCGCGTCACTGCTGTTTCAAAAAGCGGACCGCCCAGTGCCTAGGTGGTTGCTTAGGTGGATATCCCTAGGCGCCTGCTTGAACCCGTCTAGGCGGCTGCTCAGGGCTTGCACCCCACCTAGAGGTGGAGGAAATGAAGCTCCTTCAAGATATTTTTGGATCATTTTTTAATATTGCAAAATTGTGGGTTTTAGGTTCATTTGAAACCTAAAACCAATTAGAGGCTATTTTAGATAGAGAAAACCCAAAAAAAAAATATTTTTTTACTTGGTTGCCCAGGTTCTGGGTGCCCGCCTGGGCGCCCGCCTAGGCTTTGGGCAGCCTGGAAACCCTCGACCTCCTAAGGGTTGCCTAGCACTTTTTGAAACACTGGTCACAACAAACTAGGAGAAGAATCGATATCATTCAAGGGCTGAAGATTTAAGATATTACTTACAATGATAAAGAGGGGTTGGAAACGGCGATTGTCAATTATTATAGGAATGTATTTTCTTCAATTTATATCCTTGATGTTGACTTTGTATTTTCTTCAATTTATATCCTTGATGTTGACTTCAGTATGGTCCCATTTAAGAAGTTGATTGTTGAATGGAGATTATGTTTGGAAAGGCCATTCTCCGAGACTGAAATCACATTCTGTATTTAGTATATTTGGTAATAGTTCTCCAGGACGAAATGGTTTCCGTTAGGTTTTTTCCATCATTTAGGGGATTCATAGGGTCATATGTAAAGTGAACTTGGAAAGAGCATTAGTTAAAGTGGATTAAGGGGGGTTGTGTAAGATCATGGAAGGAATGCACTTCAGGACTAAGTTGCAAAAATAGATTGAGGTTGCTTATCTAGTGCTCACTTTCAATAATGATAAATAGTAAATCGAAATGCTTTTTTAAAGCTAATGAAGGCATTAGACAAGGGGGCCCTCTTTTCCCTTTTCTAGTTACTATCATGGCCGGAGGTTTTAGTGTAATATTGAAAGTGATTGAAGAGAATGGTTTATTGTGAGGATTTAAAGGGAAATGAGGAACTACTGTGTCGCACTTACGAATGCAAATGAGGAACTACTGTGTCTCTTCCGGAGCTTGGTCCATTCAAGCTGAATTTCGACAGAAGCTCGTTAGGCAACCATGGGCCAGCTGGTATTAGCGGCGTTTTACGCAATGAGCAAGGAGTGGTCATCTTTTCATTTACGGGTCCATTAGGCTCTACCACAGCTAACCATATAGAACTTGCCTCCTTGCTGCAAGGGATAAAGCTGTTTATCTCTTGCAACATTGGCAATAGTTATATCTTTGAAGGGGATTCTTTAAATGCTATTGGTTGGTGCAACAAGGAGTTACACATCCCGTGGAAATTGTGGTCAATCTGGCTGGAAATTTTGGACCTCTCTGCCCCTCTGTCTGTTTCTTTCTCTCATGTTTTTCGGGAAGCAAATGCTTTTGCGGATTCTGGGTGGGGCATCTTTGCCTTCCTTTGTGGTCTCTAACGATGTAATCTCTTTTGTTTAGTATGATCTAATAAAATTTGGAATGTTTGTCAAAAAAAAAAAAGAAAGATACATTGATATTTTGTGGTGCTTGTACTCAAAGATTTCTTAAATGTTTTGAAATTGTTTCGGCACTGAAAATTAATCTAAGAAAAGAAAAAACATTTTATTGGGGTAGCTTGTAAAAAATGAAGATGTGTGTAACTTTGCTGTTATAGTTGGATGTGGGGTGTGGAAGAGTTTCCTTTGACGTATCTTGATTATCTTTAACTAATGTTTGTATGTCTAGATCTTTATGGGACCCTATGTAAAGCGGATACAATATAGATTTGATCTTTGAAGTCCAAGTTTCTCTCTCAGGAGGAGGTTAACTTTTGCAAAAGGAACTCTGTCTAACCTACCCATTTATAGTATCTCCTTGTACAAGATGCCTAATGTAATAGTCAAACAATTGGAACGCCTTATGAGAAAGTTCTGTTAGGGAGGTTCTAGAAGTTTAATTTGGTGGCCTAGAGTAAGGTGTGTACCCCCATTAAAGATTGGTTGTTTGGGAGTGAAGAGATTGAAAATAATGAATAACTAAATAGTGGTGGCAATGTGCAAATGAAGAGGAGCCATTGTGGAGAGTGATTTTGAGGGGAGAGATATGGGATTGACAAAGATAATGGATTGGTAGCTAAATGAGCTAATAAGAAGGATGTGGAAAGGGATTGTACCATGCACAGAGATTTTCTTAAGAAATATGAAAATATTGGTAGGTGATGAAAGAAAACCAAGGTTTTGGCAACAAAAGTGGATTAGTGATAGACTTCTCAAAGTTCAATTTCCAAAATCATTTGGAAAAGTTACATCTAAAAGCCTAAACATTAAAGAGATGGTCAGTGGTTATGGAGAGAATACTACATGGGATATTCGATGCTGCTATAATAAGCAATTTGAAGTGGTGATTGATCAATATGTGAGGTGTTCACCATGAGTTCGACTTACACTATTATTTAATGATAGGAAGTGAGTGAAACTAGACTATCTTGTGTTTGGAAGTTGTTAGTTCCGGATATGGTGAGATGCTTTGTTTGGTTGATGTGTTTAAAGAAGGCGTACCATTGATGTTTTAAGGAAAAGGGGTAAAATAATTACTAATGTTTGCATTTTGTGAAGGAAGTTGAAGAAACAACTGATCATGTGTTAATACAATGCTCTTTAACAAAGAGAATCTGGTTTTGGATATTAGGTGATTTAGAGATGCTATTGAGCCTTCCCATGTAAACTATGGATTTGTTCACACAGTGAAATTTGAGGGAGGTTGATAAAGGTGGTGGAGAATCGTTAAAAGTGCAGTGGGATGGGAACTTTGGAAGGAGCGTACTAGAAGATGTTCTGAAGACAAAGTGTTTGGGTGTGAAGGAATTGTTTGAGATGGTTAGATTAGTGTTTGCAGAATGGGCCTCCATAAGAAAGAATTTCTTTCTTTTTTTTGTGGGAAATTCAATTGAGTTGAAATATTAGATTTGGGGCCTTTTCCATTGTGTCTTTTCAAACGAGCACATAATGCATATGCTTCCTTTGTAAATTGGAGACCAATTTAGCTACCCCTTTGTACTTCCAATTTTGTGGGGCCGGATCTTGGTCATCTATGGTTGAATCAATATGATTTTGGAAGGGTAGCCTTTAAATACCGTAGATTAACGATTAGATGGTCGGGTTACAATTTTGAGACCAAAATTTGATGGTGCTCTTTTCTGACGTGTCTGATTATCACCTTAAGCATACTACTAGCTCTGCTTTTTTTTCATTTCCAGCCAGGGCCTTTCTATAATCTATTTCAAAGGGATTTTCTGATTTTGAGCTTAATTTGAGATTATTTCCCTTGGCTGTATCTAGTTCTGATGATTCTTGTGAAATTCGAGTAGTTATCATGTTGGATGTATATACAACTTACTCCTGGTGGGGTTGCACTTAGCCGGCCACTGTTCAGACTTATTTTTTTATTGTTTTATTTGGGCAAGAAAAAGGCCCTTTTGAAAGGCCAAAAAACTTGGGAGCCACATCAACTGTCTCGGTGATTTTATTTTGCTTCAAAATACCCTCAATCAGGTTGTTTTATTTGGATATGTCCAAAAACTCACCGAGCCTACTCTGAATTGGGGCTC